TACCAACTTCTATATTTTTCCTAGAAGCTTTTCGTAAAAAGAGAAACTCCAAAGGTATAGTTGTATGTAAAGTTCTAAATATATAAGGTGTTGGATTTATTCTACTCATCCTATAAAACGAGTTTTCCAGCTTTATGCGAAGTTGAACTTACATTACTTCTTTCACGTGCTCCGAGACAACCTTTCCTCTTGATCTGTTTATAACGGATGATCCAGCTAGAGGTACTTTTTTTAATAGCCTTTTCTTGGCAGATCAGGCGTAAGTCGTGTCAAACTGTTTTGTTATTTTGCTTCAGTATTGTTTGGCATTTCATCATGGAAAGACTTACGCCCGAACAACGTTTACAAATCGTTCAACATTATTATGAAAATTTGCGCTTCGCTCAGCTTATTGTCAACTTAATCGGGTCAACCATCTTGGGACCCAGCATTCATTATTGGATAATATTCGACCTAATAGACCACGTCCAACACGCAGTGAAGAAAATATAGCGGCCGTAGCTGACAGTCGATTCGGACGTTTTCGAGCCAAATTTTATTCAGCGATGAGGCTCATTTCTTTCAGAAAAAACAACGGTTTGGTGTGGTTTGTAGGCCGGTAGAATCATCGGTCCATATTTCTTCAAAAGTGATGCCGGTGAGAACGAGAGATAATCGACTATTTAATGCCTGAAATTGAAGCTCGTGATCTCAGTGACATTTAGTTTCAATAAGATGGCCCCACTTCCCACACATCGCATCAATCAATGGATTTATTAAGAGAACACTTCGGTGAGTAGATAATTTCACGTTTTGGGCCGGTCGTTTGGCCACCAATATCGTGTGATATCACACCGTTAGACTTTTTCTTGTGGGGATATATAAAGTCTATGCGGACAATCCCGCTTCGATTAACACCTTGGAGCAAACCATCACGCGTATCATTCGCCAGTTACCAGTCGAAATGCTTGACCGCGTCATCGAAAATTGGACTCAACGGATGGACCATCTGAGACGTAGCCGCGGCCAACATTTAAAAGAGATAATTTTCAAAAAATAAACGCCATAGAATGTTCTTTCAAACGGTAACAAACATAACCCCATTAAATTTGAATTTTCCGTGTTTTTCTTTAAACAAGTAGGGAACCTCGAAATGGTTGACCCTATATATGTTGGATTATAGTATTATTCCCGAAAAATACTCAAAATGGCGAAGATATTCCTTCGGTATATTGTTTTAGTTCGCAAAGTCTTCTTTAAAGTGTTGACCGATCTAATTAGCTTGCTTTATTCTAAAAATTCTGTTCATCTTGGGTGACAGACTTTCAGTACGAGTTTCGTGTTCAATAATCCTATCAACGATTTGTATCGTTCGCCTGCTTTAGGGTATTTGTAAACTATTTTCTTAGTTCAGACCTATAAAATTACTTAGTTTGAGAACTTTTTTGTATGAAAACTTCTCATTGACAGCTTTGGGAGCACTCATCTACATAGACTAATTCTAACAAATCGATTTTCTTTATTATCTGTTGCATATTTCATAATGGTAACTATTAAATATTCTTTTTTTAACGCATAAAACACAAATGTGGCACTTTTACCCAGAAAAAGTTTTCGTACACTTTCAATAAAGAAATTCCACTTTTAACGTAATGATCGACAATATTTCGTTTTAAATTCGGTGATATTTTGCTGTGAGATCAATACAAGTACCTTATTTTATAAAGACTTCGACGCTTTGGTGTAAAAGAATTAACGATAGAGTCCGAAAAGAAAAGATATTAGTAGTGGTGAAATAAAATATATACTGAAACTAAAAAAATTATGAAAGAATTTCCGTTAAATAAGCCGAATTATACGAAGAACTCATTCTGCTATGCAGAATGTCCTGCAAACTTTCGAAAATACTCGTTCCATTGTATAAAAACTTCCTTCTGGCCGGCCTGACAAATTTACCGCGCCAAATAAACGTGAAATATTGCGAACAGTAAAAAAAAAATCCTAAGATAGCGGCTTCTCAAATAAGCGAAAATTCAAAAAAATCGCTTCATAAGGATGTTCATGCGGATACCGTACGTAAAATATTAAAGAGGAATGAATAACATGTACGTGTACCACCCAGGAAACTACACATTTCGAAAGTCAACAGGAATTTTGGGAATGGGTCCTATTCTCGGATGAAAGGAAATATTGCATATTTAAAAAAGACATTACAGCATGTGCGGCGCAAAAGCGCTGTAGCCCTCTACGAATATTTCCACATTCGACAACAACTTCCATTTTATTGTAAATAAAACGCATCGCATTACATACATATTTTCTTTTTTAATAATGATGTTTTTATTAATTTCTTAGTGTTTTTTTCTCATAATATCGTATTATTTATATATTTTCTATGTATTAATTTGTTCATCGTCTGCATTGTATTTTTATTTTTATTTTTTGCATGTTTTCTTCTTCTACAACTCAATATTCTCCGTAATCAATATCAGTTTTATGTAATATTTTGATTTTTGATTGAATTCCATTAGAAATTCCTTTAGCTTGTACGCTCTTCTTAGTTAATTACACAATAATAATAATAATATAGTAGTTGGAGTGTTCACACTCGAGCGGCTACAAAATACTATGTCATATTATACAGTTATGTATTTGATTTTATGGTAATTGTTGTATATTTTGCTGCGCACTTCACTAACTTTGGTTTTGACTGGCCTTTGCTGTGCTCGCAATTATTTATTAAATTCGCATTTACAATTTATAAACTTTATACGCTGTGTGTGTATGTTGCATGGACTTTTTGAGTGTTTTTTTTCTGTTTCTTCTTTTTTGTGTGTCTGAGTTTTGTTTGCAGTTGTTGCTTTTGTGGCATAGGGTTTATTTCTGAAACTGAGTTATTGCTATTAGATTTAGGAAGGTTTTTTATATTAGCTATATCTGTTGCGTGTATAATATATTGCAAATTTCTTTAAATTTTTTTTTTGTTTTTTTCATTCTCTGCAAATCCTACCGTCCAGTCTTCGGAAGCTCCGAAGTACACACACGCTAATAAATATGCGCTTCTCGAGATTTCTTGTTGTTGTTTTACAATTCCATCCATTACCGCATATATTGCTATTAATTTTTAATTTTTTACAGTTATTTCTATGAAGTAATTAATTATATTTGGAAAAAAACAACAAAGAACTGTAATAGGTATGTATGTATTGTAGTACTACGGTATTTTCATTTTACTCCCTCTTATTCTTTCATAATTAATATTACAATTTTATATCTTCATAAATTATACACACACTTATAGAATAAATATTTAAAAATAGTTTTTTTTTCATAATATTCGCACACAGTTGACAGTTCGTTTTGCATTTCGCATTCAATAAGTATGAATATGTATTGTGTAATTGTTGTTTTTGTTCTCAAACTATGCTCATACAATTTATTTAGCCTCGCACTAAACTAAACTTAAAAAATAATCAACAATTCATCTTCAAATTTTTTCTTCACACAACATTCGTACAATGCAAAGTTTTGGATGAAATTATTTTTTTCATTGTTATTATGTAATTGTTTATATAATAGTTAATAAATCATATGGTCTCAAAGCAGCCGTCCTTATCTTACGTTTTATATACAGTTTAATCTTTAAATATTTTTTATTATTTTTTGTTTTTGTAATACTTAATAATAGAAAACAGCTCACTAAGCCTTTAAACAATATAATTTAAATTAAATATACTATTGAAAATTAATTTTTTTTAATAAATTTACAAATTGTTACAAAACAACTAAGCATGAGTCAATACAGTTCGGTGGGGATGACTAATAACACCACTTTGTTTGCATTCTCAATAAAGTTGCGAGATTTTACACATTAACTTTCTTGCACTCAATCGAAGAACTGAAAATTTTTCTATTCGCTTGATACACCCTGTAAACAGTATAAACATGATTATACAAATTAAAAATAGTTTCTTATTAGAAGTCGTGTTGCAATAAAAAATTCTTTGAGTAATTATGTACTGAGAAAAAATAAATAAAACGAAAATTACGAATAAATGTTGCGCAACATTGTTGTTTAACAAATTATTGAAAATGTTGCGGATTGCTGGAAATGCATCAATAACATTGTTGCTGGATAAAAATTATTTTTGTTTTTTAGCTTTATAGACCAGAGCGATAATTTTTTCAACAAAAAATAATAATAATTGTAGGTCTTTTCTAGCTAGAAATGTTATATTCATAGAAAAATTATTGTAAATATTACGCAACATTGTTTTTAGAAAAAGTTATTAAATAGATCCAAATATAGTGCCATTAACATCGTTGAAATTATTAAAATCCGTAGATAAAAATAAATAATATAGTTGGCGTTGTAATTATTTTAACACTATAAAAAATATGAATATAGAAATGATGTGAAAATTAAAAATAAATATATATAAAGAAAAAAATTAAAATAAAAGATTTAATAAAATAATAATAAATAAAAACAATAAAAATAAAAAATTTTAGAAAATAAATTAGATACGTAAATTTATAATACATAAAAAAATAGGATAGTAATATCTACTTTTATTGTGGAAAAATCAAACATTATTAAAAGAAAAAAATAGAAAATAAATAAACTAAAAAAAAAAAACAAAAAAATTTTTTACTTATAGGTAGAAATTGTGTGAATATTTAAAATAATAGAAAATAAAAAGTAATAATAAAAACAAATTGTGCGATAATTGAAAATTATTGAATGTAAAATAAAAAATTAAAAAGTAATTAAAATTATATAATTAGAAATAAAAATATTTTAAAAATAATATAAAATAAAATTAGGTAAAATTATTAAAAATTAAATATGCAATGATCAAGGAAGTCTTTATAAAAAATAGCTGGTAAAACTATTTCTAAATGAAATCTTTGTAAATCAATATTTTTAGGAAATAAAAACTAAATACACAAAAAATAATATCAAATATATTAAAATTGAGCAATCTAAATACAATTTACATAAAAATATAAATAAATAATATTCTTAAAAAAATTAAAAATAAGCATTTGCTACTCAAATAATATTGAAAATAAAATTGGAAAACTATTATTTATATTCACTTAATTCACAAGCAAACCATTTCGCAAAGAGTAAACAAAGGCTTAAAAGTTTTTAAATTTAGTAAATAAGCAAAAGCAAAATGAAATACAGAAACATAATGAAAATTAAAAGTTATTACAATAAAAAAACAGTCGACAAAAAAAATATTTAATTTTAATCAACTAATTAACTAAAAAAAATTGTAAACAAACAAAATTATTAAAAAATTTAAAAAAAAAACACATACCAAAATAACATAAAAGTTATAGTTGATAAGTTAAAATTTAAATTTTAACAAACAACAGAAAATTTATGAAATAAATGAATTTCAATTTCAATTTAGTTCAATAACATTTTTGGCACACTTTCTTCTTGTACTCGAAACAATTTTTTCCAAAACCAATTTGTTGAAAACTTTCCAGTATTTCAAAACTAAACTCCAGTCGCACATTGCACTAACAGTTGTTTGCAAAACTCATGGTAAAACACACCGACATTTGTTTTTTAACTTTTTGTTTTTGTGAAATTATATTAATGTAATACATATTTAATAATATTACTAAACTATATTATATGGTAAATTAAAATTAAATATTGTCCTGCTATGAATTAAATTTAAAAACTAAATTCTTTCCTAAGCACACTTTCAACTTCATATACATAACGGTAATAAGGAAAGTATGCGCGTTAAATAATAACTGAGTCAATAATAAAAATACATACTCTACGATATCCACAAACACTTCTAAACAACCACGCATAATCAGCACATACAAATGCATACATACATATATGTATATGTATGTGGTGTTAATTATGCTTTTATGTATGTCGCTTCACAACTTCACTGATTTTTGTTGCTTTTGACACAACCGCCACCCACATCATTCAGTCAATTTATGTCGTAGTATTTTCTTTGGTAGCTTTTACAGCCGCCGTCCGCACCAACGCCACCAGAGCCAACGAGGCCACCGATACCGACATCGACACCGGGCCCTCCGCTAACACCACTGCCACCGCCGCCGCCGCCATTTAAACCATTGTTGTAATAACACCCACTGACGCTGGTGGCTCCCATGTTGGCGCCGATGCCGACGCTGCTGCCGCCACTGCCACCGCCGGCAATCATGGCCAAAGCTTTATTTTAGCTAGACGCGCCCAGCGAGTTCTTCATATGCGCTGCTGCTGCCGCTTGTACGCCGAACGGTGAGCCACCGGGGCCGGTTTGTGGACCATTGTTGTTGTTGTGATCGCCCGGTGTACGCGGTCCGTTTTGCACAACACTGCCCGGTCCACCAGGACTGCCGCCGCCCATTAAACCACCCGCGCCGGTCGGTGAACCCTGTCCAATGGCGCTGGCATGTCGCTTCAACATCGGATGATTGGCCATTGAGGCGAAGACCAGACGCTCCTCATAGTCATATTCGCAGAGAATCTTATTCTCACACAGGTAGAAACGATCGCCAACACAGAATCTGCAAGTAGAAAAAAGAGAGAAATCGTGAAAAAAAGTGGCTGCATAAAGAATTTTATTATTTTTTTTTGATTTTGAGTTTTTTGAACGAAGGGAAATGTCAGCAAAGGAAACATTTCTTCCACTTGCTTGACTAGAAAATCGAGGGCATTTAAGTCTAAAGCCAAGTCATTGTCGATTGTCATGACATGCGAGAGTTGTTTAGAACAAAGCGTACCGTTTCGTATGTTCTTTTGATTTTTTTTTTCCTTTGCTTCCTTTCAATGACAGACAATTCTCTTCATTTTACCTTCGTTGACAATTGTCTTCTATCTATTTAGCTGGCAGTTTTCGATATCTATATGTATGTACATAGGTAATAGCGAATGTGAATGGCCACAAATTCATTTAAAAGCGAAAAGTTAAGGAATGACATTAGAGTTCAGCTCATCTTGCTAACATCCTTTATAATACAAAAATTAGTCATATGGAAACAGCATTTATTTGTACCTTGTTTCTAATCCTGAGAATCTTATATAATATGTCTGGTTGTTTTAATATAAATAAAAATAAGAACCCTAAACTCGATCGAAACCGAACACAATGTGCTGATTTCACATATTTTTGGTAACTGTTCAGATCTTATCTATAGACCAAGTGGTTTTAGATATAGTTCCTAATACCTTACTTCTATATTTATAAATGAAATGTAGGGATATAATTAAAATTGCAGTCGTTCGATTGGCCACCAAGATCGTTTGATATCACACTGTTAGACTTTTCCCTGTGGAAAGGGATGTGTAAAGTCTAAAGCATATGCGGACAATCCCGCTTCGATTCAGGCCTTAGAGCAAAATATCACGCGTGTCATTCGCCAGTTACCAGTTGAAATGCTCAAACAAGTCATTGAAAATTTGACTAAACGGATGGACCATCTGAGACGCAGCTGCGGCCAACATTTGGAAGAGATAATCTTCAAAAATAAATGCAAAAGAATGTTCTTTCGAATGATAATAAACATTCGCCATTAAATTTGAACTTTCTACAAGTATGATTTTTTCTTTAAAAAAGTAAGAAACCTTGAAATGGATCACTCTATAGTAATATTAACCTACATTTCTAAGTTACAACAATATACAAATACCTCTCTTTATTCTCAAAATTTGTATATAAAACTCTACCTCTGCTTAATTTTGTACTTAAAACTATACTTCTGTCACTGTTGCGAGCGTGTAATATTCTAAAGAATTTTTAAGTAGAACAAATTAGATATGGAAATTATAGTCAACCGGTGACTATAGACCTCATATGAAGCACTTTTCTCCGATTTTTTTTTAATGAAAAAGTTCAACAAAATTTTGAAAGCTCTGTCTTTTTTTCCTTCAATTTTAAAGACATTGGTTAAAGATAAAACCAAAATAAACAGAGCTTAATGAAATTACAACTTAAACTCACAAAGCAAAATTGCATTTGATGCGGAATTTATTCATCTAATTCAATTCTAATTCTAATTTCAAGTATAGGTGAGTTTCAAGGTGAGTGTAAGAAGTTTAGATACTGAGAGGAAGAAATGTAGATGTTTTATATGCCACTGCATGAAACATTTCTTATATAAGATCTAGTAGAAAGAAATCCATTATTTCCCACAATAGATGGCTTTAGTAGATGGCTGTAACTCACGTTGTATAAGTGCGGTTATTACCCTATATAAAGTAAGAAAGATAAAATATCGTACTAAAACAAATTCTGAGACAGTTCTTTGATTGCTTGACTCAGTATTGTTTGAGCGAATGTCAGAAGTGAACACCAAACATGCGAAAATACGCCATATTTTACAGTTTTTCTTCGAAAAAGGTGAAAACGTAAGACAGGCGGCTGAAAATGTTAAAAGTATTTAAGGTCCTGATTTTGTAGCAGCCTATCATGCGCAATCGGTTTTGTCGATTGCATTCCGGTAATTTTAATGGCAAAGATGTACGACGCTCTCAAACAAACGAATCGCTCGAAAATCAATAAAATATTGGAAATGGTCCGACTATCATGTAAGCACTGTTTCGATTGCCCAGGAGCTAAACAAAGCTCCCTGTATGGATGGAGGGTACCCGAAGAGGGTTAGACTGCTTATAAAAGCGTGATACAATTGATCATGAGTGAGGGAACTGACTTTATGTCTAAGTACTGTTGGTGTTTGTTTATTTTATATATTTTTGAACATTAAAACTGACGAAACAAAAATATTTTGTGACACAACACACATTTAAGCGACACTAGTTGAATCAGCGCAGCTTACAAAGGAATTACAAAACTGTGTGAGAACAACAAAAAGAGCAAAAGCAACCAAGTTCCTATCCGAAAAGGGCGCACCTTCATGATTTATGCAACATTTTCACCAACCAACAGCCCACTTATATTTACCGCGACAATGCCACAGCAAAGTAAATCGATTGACAGTTTATTTGCAGACAACAAAAATGAAAGCGACAAGCAACTGCTGCTGTCACACCAACAACAGCAAAGCACTGGTTACTTGGAAAGTTTGGCATGAAAAAAGTGCAAGTTTTTGTTTATCTTACAAAAACAAAAAAAAGATGAAAAATCGCACAAACAGTTACAAAAAGTCCACAACAGCAACTAGCGCAGCACCTGTGACTCGGAAAACTGGTGAGAGGTGCACCAACCAGCGCACAGAGCGGGACCGCTGATAAGCACACATATGTATATATGAACGCGTGTGTGTGTGTTCATAAGCCAACATATCACTGCTCATACCCCCAAGCTGCCAGTGTATAATCGCCGGCAGCGTCTGATGAATGTCACTTGTCGCCCGCCTACCACGACTAACGGCTCTATTTTTTTCTTCACCCGTATTGTTGATGGGAGCTTTGAAACCAATCTGTGATTTTTAACTCTGTGCTGGTAAAAACTGAGCAAAAATAGTGCGCCGAAAAATAACTGGAAAAAAATGTCATAAAATTTATGAAATGAGCGCAACAAAAAATCCGGTTGGGTGTATCCAGGCAGAATACCACAAAAATGCAAACAGTAAACATCGTAACACTGTAGTGAGGTACTGCTACATATGGTAGTTGTGGCATGTGGCACATACAAATGGAATACGGTAAATGTTTTGCGGCAGAAGCTGCGGGCACTTCCGGGCACCACTGACTGAGCTTCCCTTGCGCTGAAGACCACGGCTGGCAACCAGCGCCCCAACCCACTAGGGAGTCAGTGACTACACTAGCCTAGAACTCCAACAGGCAGCCAGCAAAAGTAGCACCAACAACCAATCCACACACAAAACCATTTTCTATAAAAAAAAAAAAAAATTGCAAAAACAATACCAAACAACAGCGACAATTCGGACATTCGTATCAACACATCAACGAGCGCCAATATCGATGACGACAGGAAATTATGCAAACTTTATGCTGAAGGCAACAAAAAAAATAAATAAATCAGGCAAAAAAATATGAAAAATTAACTGTAAAAACAATGACTGGGTGCATGCGTTTATATTTTTTTCGATTTCGATTTCAATTTAAATGTTTTTTTTTGCTCGTCAGTTTTTTATTGTTTCACTTGTAGTGCTGCAACTGAAGACCCGCATGTTAAATTAACACAAACGTCACATTTCCGCTTGAACAAAAGCCACAGAAATTTTTTCGAAAAGCAAGAAAAAAAAAGCAGAGAAATTTTATTCACAACTCAAATATGGCGATCGGCCGGCGGCTGTCAACGCCACTGTGAAGTGGTCCTGTCGCGCACGTGAGCGGCCGCACAGTGTGAGAGCACTGGGCGGATGAATGACAGTTCAAGGCGGAGTGCGGTGCGAGAGAGGCAGTGTATATTGCATGGCTCAATGATTTTTTGGCAATTGAATTAATTTTTTAAAAATTTATTAGCTGCAATACAATGAAGCGCGTGAATTGTAAATTAATAGCGAAATGTTTGGGAAAGCACTGCGCCGGAATTGAAGAAGAAGCAACAAGAATTAATTGAAATTGACACGGTAAGTTCATAATTTTTAAAGTACAGTGTTTTAGCCTTACATGCTTGTAGATATGTAGTTCTGGAGATTACAATTGTACGATTTTTTGGAAATAGTATGAATATAAGTTTAAATATTAAGAAATTTAAAATTTTAGATCCATATTCGAGAAGTAGAAGACTTTATAGGAATTGTTCGTAGATGCTAAAATAGTTAAAGATTTTATACTACTGGCGTAGCATCAATAGATATAATTTTTAGATGATTATGAAAACATCAGAAAAATCATTTAAATTAATTTCACTAAACAGATAATGGAACCGCCTTCATTAATATTTTTGAACAAAAAGCTGTATCATAGATATGAAATAGCATTGAGCTGGTAAAAATCTCGCAAAAAGGCACAATTATTGTGAAATTAACAAAAAGGTGTTTTTTTTTATTTCGATAAATTATACTCTTAAAAATAACATACGTCTCAAATAGTTTTGAGTTACTGCATTTTTCGAATTTGCTGGAGTGATTATTTGGAGACAAATGATACGATCACTATCAAATTATCTCCATGTTCTGTATATAGTCAATACAATTAGCCATCAGCTTTTTGATCTGATCAAAAATCGAATTTCGACAGGCCAAAAACGACCAACATTTTGGATAAAATTCAATTTTTTTAAACTCTGCCATTTTGTCAATTTTCGCTATTTTTGTTTTCTTGTAGAGAATTTTTTAGCTGTTCTGTGCATATAACATCTGTATGATAGATACAAAATAGCATTGAGCACGTAAGAAGTTTAAATTTGTACACCAAAAGTCCACTTTTACTCAAGTGATCTTAGGAGATAGTGGCCGATTTAAGAAGGATTGTTTTAAGTACAGACCTAGTTTACAGTTACAAGTTTCATAGAAACTTGTTAAGGACTTTTACTTCCATTTGTAGTATGCTTATTGTTATTAGTCGACACATGTGATAATCTAAAAGATTCAATCTGAATCGCAAGATTAATTAGAAATTATGACAAACTTTTGCAAGTCCAGAACTTCGCTCAGAGAGTTGACAATGCCTACAGAGAGGCGCCAGGTTCGACCCCAGAAGAAACAGTTGATGATTTCAAAATGCATCTTTCTGAGCTGTGTCAACCGAATTTGGTTAAGGGTGCTTTCCTCCACCTTGAAACCAGGTTTATATATAAATTGCCTTGAATATCAGCAATAGTTTGCTAAATATATTTATTTGCGTATTCCAAGGCAGACCGAAAAGTCGTAGTGTTTCTAAGAGAGAACGCCACTAGAATTCAGGCAATATGTTTTCTAGTAAGACATATTTCAAAAAAAATACTTGAGTAAGTTTCACAACTCTCAAACTATTGATTTCTGATGAAAGCGGTGTACACTCAAAACAGTCTTTTACGCTCAAAATCATAAAGGATATTCATGAAATGATTTTGGATGAGTAGAAAATGAAATGAATCAAGATATTTTATACTTTTAAGATATCAAAGGAACGTGTTCGACACATAGCTTCTGAAAATTTAGGTATATGAAAGTTCCAAGCAAAGTAGGTGTCGTACGAGCTCACAATCAAGGTAATGTACAAGTAAAAAATCAACGAAAATGATCCGACTTCCACGGATGTAGCCCGTTCGACCGTTTTACTGTGGACTATCTTGAAGGAAAATGAAAATCGTACTACGAAATTATAAGCGAGATCGCTATAATTAATTGGTGTTTCCATTTCGATGAATTATGAATACTAATAGTCGAAACAAGGCAATGTATTTTAAATTTATAAAAAAAAAGTAGCAAAATTACATTGATGGCGCTTCAAATTGCTTTCCATCAATCCACAATATTCATCTAAGCGACTTTTTCCTCTTCTCCGACCTCAAGAAAAAGCTCGGCGCAACGAAATTTAACCACAATGAAGAGGTAAATCCTATACCTGAACACTATTTTGAAGAAAAGAGCCAATCGTAGAATAAAGATGTGTGGAAGATCGCTAAAAGTGATGTATCACCCTCGGTAGAAAATTTTTATATCACAACCAATTTAACAGTTAAGCCTTTTAGAATATAATACTCACCACTACACAAAACTATTAATATTTCGTTTATCAAAAAATTACAAGAAAAGTAAAAAGTGAAGTGAACTTTTGCATGCATTGAATTTTTGCTTCTACATTGAAATTCACAAACCAAAACCGGTGAATTGCAAAAATCATAACGATTCATACACTCAGAACGACGGCCAAAACGGTTGCAGTCAATTGGCAATTTAAATATTTTATTTAGTGGAAAAATTGGAAAATTCATTTTAAAAATGCGCCTCAACATTTCACAACAATGTGGCCAAACAATTGAGGCGATAGCCGCTTGCGTGTGTGGATATGTGTGTATGAGTGGATTTGTGTGAGGCCTTTCTGCTCTGAAGGCAGCGCACAAGCGTGTAAGCTCCCTCTCGGCGCCTATTGTGCTGCTACTAGCTATGAAGAAAATCATATTAATAATGCATGCAATAACGGCATATTGTTTTTATTTTGTGCTCGAAACAGCGGCAACAACAACACACGCGCGCACAAATGCTTAACAAAGGGGGCAACAAAAGGGTTATGCGCGCGTATAATCAATAAATATTAAGGGAATGCTCAAAAAAGGAAATAAAAAGAAAAATAGGCGCGCCCAAAAATATGCTTCACAACAATTGAAACGGAAATGGAACTGTGGCACACGACGGCCATGAATTTCAAATAGGAAAAATCAAATTTAACTCGCAGCAGCCGTGCGGGAAAATTTCGCCACCACTTGTTGTCTTGTTGTAGTAGTGGTGGTGGCAACACATACAATTTATTCACGAAACCATTCAAATGTCGACACATTTGTGAAAAGAAATTTATGTGTATGTGTGTACGTGTGTTTATGGCATAATACTGTCCGTCTGTTGGCATTTACAAGCTGGGCATATTCTCTCCTGAAGTCTCTTGAGTGACATTTCAAGAATTGGCCAAATGCTATAAATTCGGCGATTTTCCATTAGTGCACCCCTGTGAGCTGGGGAAACAACGATGGTGAGGGAATGCAGCATGCCGAAGTAGCCAAGAACTGGCAATAAAAGGAAGCAAGCTTAGCCTCGTCAATGAAGAAGGCAACGCTTTGCTGTTGCGTTATAAATATGTCTATGCAACAAACATACATATTGTTGATGCCACAACACACAATGCGCCAATAAACGCGCTTAAGCACACAAATAAGCAAAAGTCAACGAGAGTGTAAGCCTTTTTCGCACATATGAACTTCCACAATGCTTTTGTTGTTGTTGTTTGAATTTGCTTGTTGTGTATTGTGTGTTCTGCATTTATTTGCCACACTTATGTACATGCCTACATAAGTATATGCGCCTCTTTTGTTGTTATCCTTTCTTTTCTTTCGTGCGAATTTTTATTGCCCTATTTATTATCGTTGTGTTGGTGTCGATTGCAATTTTGTTATAATAAAATTTAAACAGCCATTTTGGGTATTATTTGATGCGAGATTAAAAAGAGATTTACTTCGGCACTTGAGGGCAACCAGAAAGCGGGGAAACACTCACAACAGTGCGAGAAAAGCCTGCAAAATGGGTTGCGCAAGTGAAACGAATTTGCGTGCAGTTTGCGGAAAGGGTTGCTTCCCACACATTTTGGTAGGAAATATTTATGGCTTAGTATCGATAATTGACCATAGAAATAAATTTTTAATAAAGCAAACTACTTAATATGTCATAAAAATGGACATAATTGTGCAAAGTTAATGCAGAGCAAGTTAATATCGATCTGAAATTTTCCACATGTTCATTTCTTCACACTCTCTTTTTTGTCGGAACTGTCGATATTGGATCATTATAGCATATAGCTGCCATACAAACTGAACGATCGGAATAAAGTTCTTGTTAGAGGTCTTTTGTATTTTTGAAGGGTATTCTATATTTTTTTTTATAATGATTTTTGGAAACAATGTTATATGCAGATAAACTAAGCCAACTCTAAACAAAGTTAGGCAAGACTGTGATTTTCAAAAATTCTACATTTGTTAATTACATTCCGATAACCTCTTGAAAAGGTAATTCCGAAGATTGGATTACTAGCCACCATTTTGTATAAAAATTTTAATATCAATGTTTTTTTTTTATTGAAATTCATGTTAACTAAAGAATAAAAGGGAGAATTTTCATTTGTTTTTCCTTACTCTCGGAATCAATTGTCAAGGTTAGGCCTTTTTGAGAGCTCTTGAGTGGCCTTACCCTTTAAGGACACTTTAAGAACTCTCACAGGTTGAACCCCATGTTTTTTCGAGCTTGTTGTGAAGTTTAGATGTAATTTCTTCCAATAAAATAGAATCTTAATTTGAATTCCAAAACCTCAGTTTCCAAAAATTTCATAATCTAAGTTTCACATTTAGAAAGGCGACTTAAATATTAGGTAAAGTAAAAAGTTCGTTCGGTTTTTTATTGATTTTTCAAAAGATGATAACTTTGTGTGAATTTGTCCGATTTAAGTCAAATATGCGCCGTTTTGTTCGTAAACTTGTTGCTAACGAGATGCCAACTTCATTATACCCCTTTCGAAGAAGACTGCGTCCCTATTGCCAAAAAACTCGGAGATCCAATTTTCACACTCTCTTGAGGCCAACTTCTCACCATTAAGCGCGTTCGCCATGGACAGGAAAAGATGGTAATCACTTGGTGCCAGGTTCGGACTATAAGGTGGGTGCATTAGGACCCCCATCCGAGCTCCCGGAGCTTCTGGCGCGTCACCAAAGACGTGAGTGACCTGGCGTTGTCCTGATGGAACACAATTCGGCCTCTGTTGATCAAAGATGGCTTCTTCTGGATGAGTGCTGTCTTCAAGCGGTAAAGTTGTTGGCAGTAGAGGGCTGAATTGAGCGTTTGGCCATATGGGAGCAGCTCGTAGTAGATGATTCCTTGTCAATCCCACCAAACACACAGCACCTTCCTGGCCGTCAATCCGGTCTTGGCCACCGTCTGGGCCGCGTCCACAAGCTGTGACCACGACCGTTTGCACTCGATATAGTCGTAAGTGACCCATTTTTCATCGCCAGTCACAATCCGCTTCAGAAACGGGTCGATTTTGTTGCAATTCTGCAGCGATTTGCAGATGGAAATTCGGTCCATCATGTTTTTTGCGTTAGTTCGTGTGACACCCAAACATCGAGCTCCTTTTTGAATCCAAGGTTATGCAAATGGTTCCAAACGGTTTTCTGGCCTATCTTTAGTTCCTCAGCTATTAAATAAGTGCTCACGTGACGGTCTGTTACCACTATTTCCATGATTTTATTGCAATTTTCGACGACAGGCCTCCCGACGAATGCATCTTTGACATCGAAATTACCGGAACGGAACCTAGCAAACCACTTTTGTGCTACACGTTCGTTTACAGTATCGGGCCCATAAACTAAATTAATGTTTTCAGCCGCTTTGGCTGCTTTTTCGCTTGGATCGAAGAAAAGTTGTAAAATATAGCGAATTTTCTCTTTGTTGGTGTCCATCTTTGACGAGCGCTCACAACGAACTGAGTAAATCAATCGAAAAACTGTCAAAGACAAACTTTTAGCGCGAATAAACATGTTTTCAGCGTTTTTAGTATGACATGATGCGACACGTAACACTAATACTATGGACAATAACGCCATCTCTTAGATAAAAACCGAACGAACTTTTTACTTGACCTAATATGTTGAAACATTTTTTTCGCCTCACGTGAAGTTTCAGCGCTTAGTATTTGTTTATTTAATTATATATTAATATCAAGGTCACAAGCTGAAAATATTACATAATAAACGTAACTAACCTGTGATTACATTGTTGACAAGCGAAACATTCCAAGTGATAGACATTTGTGCGCGCTCGCATGACCATCTCAAAGGCCGGAATGACTTTACTGCAGGCTGCACAATAGCCAGTGTTGCCAAATAATCTAAAACCACAACGTTTTATTAAGATTTTAAACAAAATAATACCAGCAATATATGTAATGCAGTGTCAAACACACATACCGCAAGTAATCGCGTTTACACAGCATAAGATTGCCCTTCGTGTAGAGCGTAGAGCCCACCTCGCCGAGACGGCAATCACAACAACCACATTTGAGGCAATCCTCGTGCCACAGCATGTCGAGGGCGCGCAGCAAGTAACGGTCCTGTATGTGCTTGCCACAACCGGCGCACAATTGGCTACCATTGCCGTTGTTGTTGTTGTTGGCATTGCTGTTCGCATTGCCGACGGCGCTGACGGTGGTGAGACCGTTGTTGTTGCCATTCGGATTACCAATATTGGGATTGCCATTACCGTTGTTAGGATTTTGCGCGCTTTGTGGATTATTTGGACCCATGTTGGGTTCCGTTTTGGTGATGTCCATAGTCATCATCTGCAAAACATTAAAAAATCAAAGGAGAGTTATAGCAAAATAATTAAAACCGACATGAAAAGGGATACTTAGTACATAGAAGTATGTATGTGTGCGTGTGCCTATAATAATGAATGGGTTAAATAAATTAAGGTTCTGGTGTATGCATGAGTAGCTAATCTAAAACGAAATAAATCTGTGTGGCATTTTTCCAACTCTAAAAGTTTTTGGTGTCTTGATAAAAAAAATTTAAATAAATAAATTGGCGCAAAAGATTTTGCACCGCATCAGAAGTGAACGCAAACGTTGTTAATCTATGATTTTAAGCCTTTTTTATTTATATTTTGTTGTTGTTCAAGTTTTACGCCTAATAAATTAGACGAGTTGATACTTTTTGCCTTACATTGTGCCGATGTTGGCGTGTCCCTTGCGATCCCACGCGTTTTGTACAGCTACCAAAGATAGCTCTTTGAAAAAGTCATCATTGAATTAATTGCCATTACTTGGCTTCACTTTGAATGGGTACACTTGAGTAGGGTTGTGCTCGCCGTTAACGGCATTGCCAGCAAGGTGTTCGTGGTGGTAAAACGTTGATGAGAGAACTTTCGCGCACATTCATTTTTTTTAAAAACCGTTTATATGGAAGCGGAAATTAAAATAAAAGTATATGATATACTTTCCTCCATTTTTTTCTTTTAAAAATCTTCTGAATAAGAGAATGTATTTCTAACCTTTTGAAGATACCAACTTTTTATTCTAAACAATAAAAATTTTCATTTTTTTTTCACAAAAATAATATCAAATTCAGATATCTCGCACCCAAAAATAAAAATTAAATATAAAATATTGTATAAAAATCCTTTCAATAATACTACTCTTTTTTATATATATTTATATCATCCGGATTTTCATCATGACGTCGGATCAACACAATATTCAAAATATTTCAACAAAATTTAAGCTGAAACTGAAAAACAAATACCCTAGTATACAATTCTGACATGATGTTTAATGTCTCCCTTTCACCAAGCTATTAATTATGGTTCTGCACAAAAAAAAAATGTTCAAACACGACCATCAGACCACCTTGTTTTGATTTTTTTGTTTCCGCTGCGAATTTGCTCACTTTGAAATTCGCTCGTGCGCAACAAGGATATTTTGTTGCAAAAGGTTACTCACTCAATTATTAAACCTATGGACTTTAGTGACCAGTCAACAACGCAAAAAACTGAAAAATATAATAAAACAATAACAACAATAAAATAGAAAAATAGAAAAAAAATTATACAATCGTAACAACAACTTGAGAACTCGTTACTATTGTACATTTGTAAAAATTAATAGTAACAATTGCATTTATTCGCAATAACATCCTTTGCAAACTCCTATTTCTACCATTTTATACTGCTTTTTAATGTTTACTAGTGTTTACTACTAGAAAGAAGAGAAATGTAAAGAACCTGCATATTTTCCAACAACGGCGTGCAAACTATGAGTCGCTAAAATTTCACCAGCTGGTGAATATTTGCTAAACCGCAAAGACCATACGAGTATAAACGAAAGTCTAACTGCAAAATTAATGATATTTTTTGGCTTTAATTTGATGTTGGCTTCGCTCTTATTCCTTTGTTTTGTAATTTTTATTTGCGGATTTTCACTTTTCTTAAATTTTTCCTCACATTTTTTTTGTTTTTTACCTAATTGTTTTCTCTTTCAAAGCTTCACAATGGTAAGAAATGCATTCTTAATGCATCCTAGCTTGTTTTTGGAAAACAAATCGCAAGGATTAGTTTAAAATTATGCAATGGAACCTCATTGAGATGAGCTTAATGTGAGATTGTAATTAATGCGTCCCTTTAGCTCAGTGGTAGAGCACTGGTCTCGTAAACCAGGGGTCGTGAGTTCAACCCTCACAGGGGGCAAGTGGAAGCGTGAAATGCGCATGAATTTTTAATTTTGACAGTAGTGCAAACAAAATGCATTCTGTAATTTTCTTTGTTGCTTATAATGCAATGTAATTTATTTACAGGGATGTGGTTATAAGGATAATTTGGAAACCGCATGTAAATCTGATGAGAATTGCTAGTCTTCTGCCGATCAGTCGTAAATATAAAATTAGTAGGTGTATTACGCAGCCAAATTGAAGTACCTAAAAAGTTCCGTTGTAATAATATTATTGTTTTAACAAAATCTAAATGATTATTCCAATATATTTGGTACACTTTCTCATTACCTTAATTAGTTAGAAAAGTTTTATATAAAAGAATTTCATATTGATAAATATTTAGTCATTCAAAACTTATTTATAAATTAATAAAATGAGATATTAATAGGAAAAAATAATAAAAATAAAAAAACAGCATTAGAAACCAAAATGTTAAAATTAATGGATTCAAAGCACAAAAAAAAAAACAATAGCATTCAAAGCTTTTTAAAAACAGTCGTTTTTCATAAAAATTTTAGAGAAAAAATCTTAACATTTAGCTTGATTTTACATTTTTCATTTACTTAAGGTTTGTTTTTTCGTAATTTCTTTTTTATTTCAAGTTAAAGTTGAAATTATTAAATTGTTGATCACCATTACCAATTCACTTTTCCAACACAACTTTTATTAAACGAATCATTCGCAAAAATATATTTTTTTATTTATGATCTGATAATATATAAAAGTATTAATTTAACTTGTAGTAATTTGGGTGTACGACAACTCTGCGAAGGGACATCCATAAATATTTTCTCGTGTACAGAGCTTAACCCCTAATGGCGCATCGCACAGAGGATCGATGAAGCAGTGTCTTTAATTATTCCTCAACCCTCAGACACACATATGTATAAATAAAATTATAGCAAACATGCATATATATGTCTCCATACAATATAAAACCAAGCAGCACTGAACTGTAGCACACTTTCTTGCGCATGATTATTGCAACGTTCTAACTAACTCGAAACTACATTATCGACAACAACGGCCTCGAACTTGATGCGATAAGCTAAGAACAAACGATATCAAAGCCATAGCTTTGGTTCACTGATATCAAGCGAGGTGCGAGGTAGGGAGAACACACAAAATTAGGACGTGACTCTTTAATTTCAACAACCTTGCGCAACTTACGCTTATTTAAATAATTGAAAAGGACGTATTTGAATTAGTAAAAAACATATCATATCTTTAAGGGCTTGTTCGGGAATTGAACCCGAGACCTCTCGCACCCGAAGCGAGAATCATACCACTAGACCAACAAGCCGTTGTCGTCGAGATCGCCAAAAGCCGCAATTCATCGCTGCCGAGTGAGCCGACAAATGTGCGAAAGTGATGAAGCATCGAGAACAAAAAACCCACATGCATTGTTGTTGATTGAACTGTTGTTGCTGAACTGACGGAGCATGTGCAAAACAACAGCAGCGCAGCGCAGCGCAATGAAAGTGAGGCTATTTTCAGTGTTGCAATGCGGCGATATGCGAAATCAGAATTTAAAAATAAGAAAAACAAAATCGTAAATAAAGGCAGAGGCATAAGAGTGGGTAAATTCAAAATGCTAACTCTAAGCAGTTGGGCTGATGAGTCAGTATATTTTGTATATGAAAAACTTATTTTACTAACTTTTTGCACGCATGTGTATGTAGTATGTACATATACATTCTCCAGCCTAAAGTTAGCAAATTAGCTTGCTCATTATGCTTTCTTTATTTACCCTTACACACACACACATTATATATTTGATTGCCTTCTGTTGCCAGTTCACTGCTTTACCATATTTTATTTTGCTTAGTTTTCTGTACTCATTGGACTCATTTAACGTTCTGCGGCAGCGCACGTGTTTATAGAACACACAGCCTATGCTAGATAAGAAATACATTCGCGCTCGAACAGCAATGCGCATATCAGCACGAATGAGACAGCGTGTGTATGGTGTTGTTGTCCGGCATGTGTCAATATTTATATGAGAGCCTCTTTAGCTCAGTGGTAGAGCACTGGTCTCGTAAACCAGGGGTCGTGAGTTCAAACCTCACAGGAGGCAGGGTTTCAAAATATATAATTTTATTCCAGTTTTTTAGAGAAAGAAGTTAAAAATGAGAGAATATTTAAAAAGTTCACATATTAACAAAATAAAGTCTAAAGTACTTAGTAAATATAAAAATTGCCTGCTAGAATTTATTTGTTGCAAATTGTCAGCCTATAATATAATATAAATTTTTGTGAGCAGAAGAAATTTGTTGTATTTTTTTTATTGACTATAATTATTGGAAGAATATTAGTTATTTTCTCCAGAATTTCATTTTCTAATAGATAATGAAATATTGTGAGCAGAAAAAAATTATAAAGTGTATTATTAAAAGTAATTCTGGCAACAATTAGTCTCTTAAATTTCTAAAACCCTCAGTAAAGTACAGATCATATCAATAGGCAAGACCTTATCATAAGAATATGTTTGTCAAAAAAAAAAACATACATTAGTTCAAATAATATTTTTTTTATAAAACAGATATCAAAACTGTGTACTATGGAATTAGGTATCTTACCCGATAATCAAAAACCACTTTTACAAAACTTTTATCGTTTTACGAAATCGCCGGTGCTATTAACCGCGTTTAAGGACTGAGATCAGTTGTATAGATAAATATTAATATTTTATGTGATATTTCATTAGCAGACGACATTTTTAAGCGAGACGACCTAGTGCGACAGCCTCCAAAACTCGATTTTTTTGATTATTATTATTTTATTATTCTTCATACATATTTAAAGAATACACATTAATATTTTTGAAGAGATTAAACATTGTTCGAGTTACACACCAGCTTCGACGGCGCTAAACAAAGTTGTTCACTTCTGCAGTGAATTCGGCCTTCTCCGTGGATTAAAAAAAAAATCTCTACTAGTACGGTCGAACATGGCGGCGGTTGTAAAGAACAGTTGAATTTTGTTGAAATAATACAAAAAGTTCGTAGCTTTTGGCTAGCCAAAATTCGACTTTTGATTAGATCAAAAAACTGATAGGTAATTATAAGAAGAACTA